ACTTCAAGGGTTCTCAGTTCATTGCTGCCGAAACAGTTTCCCATTCAGCGGTGCTCTTGGGTCCAAGCTGTGGATGGGATTTGCAGCCTCACCATGGCTTTGACAAGAACACGTTGCCAGCTTGGTTTCCCTCAAACAAACCCAAGTGGTTTCCTGGCTCAAGACCGACGCAAATGGTGGGTGTCCTTCCCTTGAAGGCACCCTTTTCAGGTTGGACTATTGCGACACCAACAGGAAAGCGCAACCCTTGGTTGTAAAAAGAGCACTCGTACCTGATACCAAAGCGGGCCAACCCCCACCATTCTGGTCCTATTTTGCCATGTCTATGCAAATGCACGATTTGAGAAAATACCCTAGAAAATACCCTAGAAAAGCACAAAAGTCAAGGTTCATCTGAAGATGACCCACCACAAAGCAGGTTCATGTTAAGCAATTCCACCGGGAAAGCAAGGAAGGTAGGGTTACACGTAAGAAAACGGAAAGGGTGAGCGCAGTCGGGAAAGTATCAAGAAAGGGTGAGGTTAATCTTGCGACAACCAGCATAAAAGCCAACAGCAAACGCAGGCAAGGTGGAGTTTCAGACACACACAAAAGGGTAAGGTTCATTTTGAGAAACCTAGCAGAAATGCAAACAGGCTGAGGTTGGTCTTAAGAAATCCCCAGAACAAATAGGCAATGCCCAAGGGAAAGGCCAATCTTCAGAAACACCGGACAAGCTGACGAGGGTAGGTTCAGCAAGCCAAGCATTAAACAAGCAAGCAAAGCAAATCAGGGTCATCTTCAGAAACCGCGCGGGGAAGAATGCAAGCGGTTGTAGTATCGTAAGAAAACTCGCCGGCCAATGCTCTTAACAAAGGTGATCTTTACCCCAGGAAAACCGACAGAGGATAATCGTAAGAACAGCCGGCACCCACACAAGTTGAGGTCTATCTCAAGGACGCCCGCATAAACACAAAAACCACAACACAGGGGCACAGGCGCACAAGGCTGTACGACAAACGAACACATCAATAGAAAACACGATACTGTGCAAATAAACATAAGCAGGCCTCGGAGAGAAAACAAAAACAAAGAGCACAAGAGATTAACCTTAACAAAAACACGCATCTTGGAAAAGCACCGAGAAACAAACACTACAACACCTGACCACCATGCCATTTCCAACAGGAAAAACATCTCTTTCCCCTTGCGGGGTAAAAAGGTTGAGGGCATTGCCCTGGGGTAAGTACTTCACAGGCTCAGCATGGGACCCAGAACCAGGGTTCTCTTATCAAACGGATCTGGAAGATTCCCTTGGTGTCTTCCCTCCTGCGCTGGCTCTGCGGCCCTTCCGCCGCGCGGCAGCCACCCCCACCAGCGGGGAGGTCTTCTCAGACATCGCGGCGTGCAAAGCCGCGAAGTTCTCCCTCTGCACCTCGGGAGACATATGGCGTCACAATCAAAACCACGGTATTCAGATGGACGACCCAGAACCATGCTTCAAGAACTAAGAAGGCGGATATCCGCAGCTATTTATGGCTGGGATTGTTCCTTACTAACCTGCATCGACCCGGGTTTTGATTGTGGCTCATGTGGCGTCAGGTAGCCGGATTTTGGGGTGGTTTCAAGAAATGGAAGGGAAAACCAAGGCGTTTGGTTTCAGACACACCCATGCGGATCTCATTGGATTGCTTTGCGGGCAGCTACCCTTTCAACCATTTTAGTTCAAGACATAAGCAAAACCTGATACTACAGACTACACAAAGCTATATCAAGATGTAAGGCTTGGAAGCACTCCAAACCCGCCCTGTGTGGTTGTGGGTCTTGGATTTGATGAAAGGCAAGGAATCAGGGACCAAGCGGGAAAAAAAGGACCCCAGTTGAGGGAAGCCACATTTCCAGCAGGACCAGGACCCATTTTGGGGTGAGCCACTTCATCACGAAAACCCAAACAAAAACCCAACCCGCTGGACCATCCCTTTTGACACCTTGTTTTGACGTACCAAGAAAAATCTTGAGCCAATATGAATCCAATTTAGCAGTTTACAACGGACCGGTGACCAGTCCGTTGAAACCAGTGGATGGCTTCCATCCTTGAGGGACAGGGGTCCCTGGGCTTCCCTCCAAAAGCTCCACTCTCTTGAAGTCGAAGTCTTGGTGGTTCACCTGCCACTTCTCAGGGCTACCAAGGGTCGCTAAGGCCTCCCGAGGGCTGTCAAAGGCTAAAGGGCTACCAACTCTCGGTTGCTTTCTGCTCCCCTGCTAAAAGTGACTAACTTTTAGTGCCCCGCATGATGATAGTGGTTTAATACGGAAAGCCCAGTAGTTGGCAACAAGTGAAAGTCCTAACATCCAACCAAAATGCAACAAAGAACTGCTGGGTGACCAGTCGGGTGCCGAGGCGCCCCCAGGCGGCTGGCCCCGGTGTCGATGATGCCGCGGCAGCCGTGCGGCGCAGCGCAGGCGTGCACCGTGAGGTTGCCCAGGCGGACGCTTTGGATGGCCACCTCCCAGAAGCCGTCCTGACATTTAGAATGCCCGGTGCAGCTGCTTAGCAGGTGAGTCACAACCAAAACCCCCAGAACCATGCTTCAAGAACTAAGAAGGCGGATATCCGCAGCTATTTATGGCTGGGATCGTCCCTTACTAACCTTCACTTGCCCGGGCTTTGATTGTGGCTCAGGTGAGAAACATGGAGATAAGACCGTATACCTATTGCACCTTAAATATTGGCATTGCCTTAAGCTTACTGAGGAAGCCCGGTTTGTCCAGAAGCCATGGATCTAAGAGGACCAGTCCCCCACATCCTCCAAAAGGGAAGGCCCGGTTTTGGACTTGCATTTTACCCTGACAGATTCCCTGGCCTACATCTGAGGGTTTGGATCCCAAATACTTCAGGGTTCTGTGCCATTGAATGGTTGTGCAAGGAAGCTGATGGCAAACCGGGGTTGAAATAGCATGAGCAAAAACTTGCTGGAGTCCGTTCCAACAATGTCACAGCTGCACAACTCTCTTTTTTTGATCCTGCCTTTTCAACCCCAAATCGGTTGGTTGACCAGCATGGTCTTGCCGTTTCAACCAATTCCCAACCCTACCTGAACCGCGATGTTAGGTTCCCCTTAGGAGTAGCTAACAACTATCGACTATTTAGCAACTAGTTAGAAAGTCTGCATGGCTCACTTTCTGGGCAAATTCGGATTCTCTTTGTTCGAATTGGTTCGGTCCAAGCACCTTTGTAATAATCCCTGTGATGCTTGCCGAAAAAAAAAGCCTAAAAGGTCCATGGCCAGCCATGCCAACCTTAAGATCTAGGTGTTGGGGCTCACGTTGTCCTGATCAAGTTCAACCTCAAGCCTGGTAAACAGAATCTTTTCTGGCATCATTTCAGTACAACGCACAGATGTAAAACGCCACCAAACTTTGACCCTGCGGGCCACAGCCGTCCCTAGTCCAAAATCGAGGAACCGGACCTGGCTGCGTCTCAAACTGGCGGAGCCAGGCCAGGAAAAGCGGCGCCATGTTGGGGGGTCCCACTTGTCTTTTCCCAAATCTACCCTTTTCTTGGGGTGGGCAGGAAACCCGACCATTTTTCTAGGGGTTGATTCCCCATTCTTTTCAACCATCGTTCTTTTCAAAGCCGGCTGTTTTCCCTGGGTTTTTAATAATTTCCTGAAAAGGGTACCCCTAGAATTTTGGGCGGCCAAACCTCTTTTTTTTTTTTGGGGGGGGGGGTGGGGGGTTGTTGTTTTTTCCAAATCTACACTTTTTTGGGGTGGGCAGGAAACCAGACCATTCTGGGGGAGGTTGGGGGGATCCCCCTCCAAAAAGAAGAATGACCCGCGTCCTGTGGGTGGAGCACGGGGAACCACTGCAGGGGGCTCTTCATGCGCTTCGGCTCGTGGCCCCCGAGGAAGAGCTCCCCGCTCTGGGCGCCGAAGGCCAAACCCAGCTGCGGCACCAGGCCAGGGCGCGCCTGTCAGCAGCAGATGGTGTTTGTTCTCAAAGATTGAGTGTGGCCCCTTTCTTTGAGGTCCCCCCGGTTCTTTTTCCCGGTTTCAGCGGCAAACCGGAAGGACTTTTTGTTCTCTAAATTAAATGGCAGTGATTCCTTTTTTGAGGTTCCCCCGCCCCCCGTTGTGTGCTTGGTTTCAAAGGCAAACCAAATACGCCTAGATAGGGAACCCTCAAGCGTAAGTTCAAGTGGGTTGGGTTTAGGGTGGGTCAGCAGGATAACAACCGCAAGTCATGAAGCACCCTGGCATCACCAAAACACACATCCCGCCCCGCCTCGGCTGCTTTTTTTGGGGTCGTCAGGTTGGAGCAAAGGGAAACCAAACACATAGCCACAAACGTATGAAGAACGGACAATAGATGTATTGTCTAATTGCTCAGTTGGGGGATGCCCTCCCCGAATTAATGCCAGCTCCCCGGTTTAAACCACAACTTGTTTTCATTTCCCCCGAAAATGGTTGGACGCCCCCCACCCCCCCAACACCTCCCCCGAGGCTTGCCCAAACCGCACCTCGGTGAGGCGCGCGAAGAAGTCGCAGCCCGTCTCCGTGGTGAGGCCCGGCAAGCCCAGCCCCACGATGCCGTCGTAGGGCATCTGCTCGAAGAGCGGCTGCTGCATCTCCACCGCCGCCATGACCTCAACTCGCTTGCTTTCAACCTCCATGTGGGTTTTTCCTCTTGGTTTCGCCTACCACAACATGAGTCTAAAGATCCGCTGCTTTCTGCTCCCCTGCTAAAAGTTGAGAACTTTTGGGGGTTCAATACGGAAAACCCGACAGTTGGCAAAAAGTTAAAGTCCTAACATCCAACCACAATGCAGCAAAGCCAAGTCTCCCAGGCGCCGAAACGGCTCACAGCGGAACCCACATGGGCAGAGACTTCACAGCTTGCATCTGGGCAATTGCGCCCTCGAATGGACACGGCCAAAAGAATGGCACCGGGGGTGACATGTGTCCACCCAATTACTTTTGAGGAGGAGGTGCGGGGAAGTTTTCCCAGTGGACCAAAGCGGTTGCAAAGAAGAAGCGGCAGGTCAACACCTGGCGCTTCGTCGAGTCGCCTTGGGAGAGCCTAAAACTGCTTGGCTTCCTCGTGGATTCCCTTTCAACCCGCACACAAGGATACCATAGAGAAACCTCACAGAAACCCAAGTGAGGTTTGAAACCATTCCCAGGCTCCCGGCATCGAGGTTGGTGCAGATCTGACCCCCGAACTCCGTGCCCAAGCAGACCTTGTCCTGAAATCCAAAAAATTGGACGGGCTTGGCGGAAACTCAAAATTGAACTTACCCTTGCACACCAAGGTGACAGTGGATGGCACAATTCCCGGTAGATGTGGGGAAAACAGCCTTTTCACACGTGTATTTGTTGCCCAAGCTAACATACCCCAAAAGGACTCTTCGTTCTTGGTTTCAAACAAGCAGCTGGCTTTGCTTGCGCTGTCTAAATTCATAAGAGGTTGATGACCATCCCTACCAACCTCAAATAGCACGTACGTAAAGGGTTAAGACTAAAGTCCAACTGTAAAGGGTCTTGTGACCATGGCACAGATGGAGACACTGGTTGTCGCACATTCCCATGTGCAGTTTTAGCTTCGAAATCGAGATTTCACCTTGGAGGCCTCAAATCAAGCGTTCCCGAATATTCTTGGTTGACGTTGGAAGGAGAGCAACAAATCAATTTGTAGCAGCCAAGTGGGGATTGCCCACTAAACCACAACAAGCAAACATGCAAAATGGTTCCCAACAACGACCATGTAGTTGCCTTGCTTCCCACATGGCTTGTTCAAATCGATACGTCCCCAAACAAGAAGATTGGCTTCCCATCTCCGGAACAATCCAAGACATGTCTGGGCCAGACTCAGACCCACAAAGGGAAACCGATGGAAACCCAAGGAGGAAGAACGGCTAAACGGGAAAGTTGGACAAGTCTGGTTATGGTACATGGTTCTTCTTGAAATGAGGGGACCCTAACAGTGGTTGGCTTTCTTTTGGTTTCCGAAAACGAAACAAAAACAACAACACAAAAAAAGGGTTCTCTAAAAAAAACACGAGCCCAGGAAACGCCTCTCTTTCTTTTCACCCGTCCTGCACGAGCACCGCTTTGGCCACGCCCACCCCCAGATCGGCCTGCCGGGGTGAGGGAGCTCGGAGCGCGGCGGGCAAAGCTCCATTTGGGGAGTTCCTAGAAACCAATGTGTTCCATTTGGTGCTAGGTCTTTCAGTAGTGAGATTAGAATAGGGGTACCAACTTGTTTCTTGTTTTTCTGTCGTCTGTGGTTTTGCATCTCTCGGGGAAAAGGACACAAAAGGCCCATACAACAAAGGTGACTATGGTTGTAGAGGCCTCAGGAGGCGAAGTGCCGCAAACGGTTTTGCAACTTTTAAATTGGGCGCCGAGCTGGGATTTTCGAACGGACATCACAAACACACACACACACACACACACACACACACACACACACACACACACACACACACACACACACACACACACACACACACACACACACACACACACACACACACACACACACACACACACACACACACACACACACACACACACACAACCATTATGGGGGTATGACCCTGGCCCTGGCCAACAGTGGAAGCAAGAAATGATCAACCGCCACCAAAAGGCTCAAAAATTAAACTGTGGAAATGCTGATGTCAACAGGTGCCATGGTTGTCATCCTTGAATCTCTCGAGGTCTTTCTCTTGCTGATTCAGGGCCATGGCAAGGGAAGCCATTGTAGCCTGGGGACGATCACGAGCAATGAGGGGCATGTGTTTCCCGTGCCGTTTGACCAGGGAGCTGTCCGTTTTAAGAAGGATCAATCACTTGCTTGGGGAAGAACGCCCGCCTTAATGTTCCAGGTTCTACTTCAATCCGGTTGACATCCGGTCATAGAATCCAGCTACGGGAAGCAAACACCAACCAAATTGGGGGCTGACTTCCTGTAAAACAAAACAAAACTGTGGTTTCCTGCAGTTGGTTTTTTAATTCAGGGCTTTTCCGAGGTCGGAGCTTCCAAGTCAGAGGAATTCGAACGGAACAAGTTGATGAGTAAACTTTTCGTTTCTCAAAGATCCAAACTTAATATTGGGATCTTACCGCTGGTTTTGCAAGTCCATGACTTGAGCTTTACCATCCATCCTTCCATCCTTCCATCCTTCCATCCTTCCATCCTTCCTTCCATCCTTCCATCCTTCCTTCCATCCTTCCATCCTTCCTTCCATCCTTCCATCGTGTGAATGGCAAGAAATAAGACCTTGTCGCTTGTCACGGAGGTCCAAACCCGTACAATTGCGCAAACCCAGGAATTCAGGAAGTGAGACGCGTGTTTCTCAAAGAGGGAGCTCAGAAAAGGGTTCCTCCACACGGACTGCTTCTGTCGAGCATGGCCTGGGTGAACTCCAGGCTCACGGCGTCCCGCTGCACCCGACCCAGCACCAACTTGTGGCCCTTCTGCACTGGGAGCCCATCCGTGTTCACGTCTACAGCCGTC